GCATTACTTTTCTTTTGTAATGACAGGAGCTCTATTAAATTGAGACTGAACATTTCCCCCTGGTATCTTTACTGTTCACCATGCCCCATATTGTCCACCATGCCTTATCTCTTCTCACAGCCCCACATATCCTTCTGCTGTATCATGCTATCCTCCCTCCTAGCTTCCATATATATTGCTATTTTTAATAATTTTACTTTTACAAGACAAGTTCTCACTATATAGCTCAGGTTAGCCTATAGCTCATAATTCTCTTGTTTCTGTTTCTTGAATGCTAAGATTATAAGCATAAGCCACCATTTCTGGCCATATATTTTTACATATTTTGTTTTATTTTGAGACAGAGTCCCATTATATAGTCCTAGGACTCTATAGACTATAACTATATAGACCAGGCTGGTCTCATACAGAGATCCACCTGCCTCAGTCTGCTTTGCTGGAACTAAAGGCATGTGTTGTTTCCTTATTTTCTGATGGACTGTGAGTTCCTGGCATATAGGAGTCCATGAGTATATAATTAACATGTAATTGTCAAATTAATGGATTTGATTGTTTAGGGTTTTTCTTTTTTCTGTTGTTATCTACAGCTCTGATACTCCCAAATGCCTTCAACATTCCTCAATTTCTTTCTTCTCTGAATTTCATTACTAACATTCATATTATATATATATATACATATATATATATATATATATTGCCTAGTTTATAGTGGTCTGTGCTAGAGCTAGGGAGCACACAGATAAACAAGTGAGATGCAGCTATTGTGCAGACATGAAGTAGGCAATATCGATCACAATATAGTATTTATTAATTTGTGTGTTCATATGTATATGAGTGCAGAGGTGTGCATGCCATGGTACTCATATGGAGGTCACAGGAAAGCTCTCAGGAGTCAGTTTTCTCCTGCCACCTGGTGAAATATGGGAATTGAATTCAGGATTTATCAGGCTTGCATGCAGATACTTCTACACACTGAGTCATCTAGTTGACTCTACAGATATAAACACTGCAGTACCTCAGAACATTATACAATCCTGAAAGCTCTGGTCAAACTAGCCATCAAAAATTTATGAAGAGGGTACAATGAACTACTCATAATCTAAGTGGAAATATAACTGCTATATATACACATAAATAGAATACTATACATCATTAACTGCTAATAGATAGTAAATATTACAAGATTAATTAAATGTTAATTGGTGCAAACAGCAATTGTTTAAAATGGCTGAGAAGCAACTGAGAGCCAGTTGACCAGTTAAGACCACTGGCTGCTTTTCCTGACAATGTGGGTTCAAGTCCTAGCACCCAAATAGTGACTTACAACCATGCTAACTCTACTTTCTGGGAATCCAGTTGTATCCGGCTTTTTCTTTTGGGTCACCAACCAGCACCCAAATCATGACACGGAGACTTCTTATTAGTTATGTCTACTCAGTCTACTTTAGGCTTATTTCTGGCTACCTCTTTAACTTAATCTGTTTCTCTTTTGCCATTTTTTTTTAACCTTTCTTTCATTCTGTATAGCTCACTTTCACTGCTTCTCATCTGGATGATTAGTGACTGCCTGACTTCTTGCCCTGGGTGTGTCCCTTTCTGTCTCCCTTGTTCTCTCCTCTTTCTTCTTCTCTTGTTCCTTTTCCTCCCTTTCTGAGCCTAGAGTTCCCATCCTATTTATTCTCTCTGCCTACCAATCCCACCTATCCTTCTCTTGCTTTGCTATTGGAGTTCAGCTTTTTTATTAGACTAATCAGGTATCTTAGGCA